GGATTCATTTATAAATAGAACACTTTTTCCTGCATCCTTGCTCTGAGCACTTCACATTAAATTCTCAAATAACTTTCACAGTAATTCCATGAGGTGGTTAAGATCAATTATGCCTGTCTGACAGGTGAGGAAACCGAGACATAGCAAGGTCATACAGACACTAGAACAGTCAAACTTGAGCCAAGGCTTTGGACACCAGAATCGATGCTCATTAACTTGTGCTGCCAGCCCAAGGGAGCAGGGTCAATGCCCATTTGATATCTCAGCCAATGTCATACCACATGATGACCAACTCTTACTGCCAAGCAAGTTGGTAACATCTCCAAAAGGGGTCATTGATAAAACGTTTTACCAACAGCAGGGTTCCCAGCAGTGTTGAGTAACCCCAAAGAAATGTAGAATTGCCTCTACTGAGCCCTGGTTTTCCTCTAAATATTGACAAATCATAACCCACAAGTGTCCTGGTGGCTTTTTAATAATGACTGCTATATTTCTCAGGCCCTTGCCCAAAAACCTGCTCTTTGGCCCCAAGAATGCAGAGGGCAGCTGTGGCCCCGGGAGACGCTGCGCTCTACTGGCGGGTCTGATTGCTGACTAGTGGCAGTGGCTGAAGGTCACGCGGCCACCAGCTGGAGCTTGGTGCTCACAGGCTCCAGGGGGCCACGTGCCTTGGTGCCTATGCCCAGCCTGAACTACTCAGAGATTAAAAATAAATAAATAAATAAATAAATAAATAAAATAAAAGAAGAAGAAGAAAAAAAGCGTCTAGAGAGGTGTTTGGCCCTGGTGAATGTTGGTGCAAGGCCAGCCTCAGCACTCCCAGAGCTCGCAATGTCTCCAAAGGGGCTCCAAGTGTTATCTATGTGCTGGGTGGCCCTACAGACTCAGCTGGGGTGACCCTTCCTCAGCACCGATGTCCTGAACAACCCATTTTGGAGTGTCTTGACTTGGAACTTTAGAAGCAGGGCATCATCTGTGTCTCTGAAATGGAAGACAACCAATAAGGGGCCAGGTCAGGGGGATCTCTGACCTAGGAGGCGGGGCTGGGCTGGATCTTTTGCTCAGGCTCTGCAGGCCCACCTAAGAGGCTTGGAGGGAAAGCAGGATGCTTGGCCACCATGGCCCCTGGCCCCACACTCCAACCCTGGTACCCAAGGCCTTATGAAGAGGCACTGAGAGATGAATCCAAGGGACCAGCAAAAGTGTTTCTCTGCAGAGTGCAGGGCAGAGCCAGCCTGTACTGCCCACCTACACACAGGCCTTCTCCACACAACTCTGGAGGCAAGAGTTTCAGGAGGGACAGGGGCCCAAAGTGAGACTCAGGAAAGGGCAGATTCCGAAGAGGCTCATCCAGGCCCAACTAGCACCAAATTTACCCCGTTCCTTCCCCCTCTCTCCTGGGACTCCAGCTCAGAAGATCCTATGGCAGCTCCCACCCCTAGCAGAGCGCCACCCAAGGCCAGGTGTGCCACTAACACAAAGAACCGAGAGTCAGGAGAGCCTGGGCTTAATACAATTCCTCCGCATTTCCCTGTGTGAGCTTGGATAGCTCTGCATGTTCAATTGTAAGGTGGAGATAATGAGACCGATCTTGAACAGTTCAAAAGTAAGGTAATGTGTAGGTTAAAAAAAAACAACAAAAAAACAAAAACCCCACTTAAAGTGCTGTACAAATGCAAAATACCCACTTTTGTCATTCCATAGAGTGGGCTCTGATTAAATGACAACGTTTACTAAAGACTGAGCGTAGGCGAGATTGACATTTCCTACCTCAGCACATATGCATAGACTCACGTTGGTCCCTGGAGCAGGCCTTGTCCATTTGGCTCTGAGGACTTTGCCCAGGACCAGCTCCGTACTATTCCGTTACCTTCGCATGTGCCCAGGGAAGACTCTCTTCCTCTTGGGTGTGCCGATATCACACCATCTTCCCCCAGAGCTGGGTTCCATTGAGACCCAGCACTTCTTCCCCCAGGGAATGTTACTCATGTATTTCCAGCTTCCATGGGGTGTTCCCACGCACTAAAACTCAGCTTGGAAGAGTCTCAAAAGGATGTGGGCCTCCTGTCTGTCGCGGACTGTGCCAGTGCTACTGAGTCAGTCTGCTTCTCCCACACGGGCATACATGAAGGCTGCTGGAAACAGCTGCACAGCGAGCTCATGGGAAAGTCATAAGAGGATGCCACCATTTGGGAGCAGTTCAGAGTAACTTCCCAGGGAAAGTGCTCTGGAGTACTTGTTGCATGAATCCTCAGGTGACCTCTCTGCACCTGTGTCTGAAGCAGCCAGAGGAAGTGACTCTGGGCAGAGCGTTGGCCTTCAGTGAGTGAAAGGAGAGGATAAACATGGCTATTCAGCCTTTCCCCTTCTCGGAGGTTGTCTCGGAGCCCCACAGGACAAGGCAGCAGTGCTGACAGGAATTGGGGGCTCTGCCTCCACACCATCCAATGGCAACGGTACTGCCAGCTACTTCACCTCCTGTGTCACAGAGAGGTAGAACTCATGAGTCCGTCTTATAGATGATGGACCTGAGACCCGGACGAAAGACTGCCCAAGGCCTGCTGACTGTGGTCCCAATCTAACTGCTCTGCCTCTTGGAGAGAAGCCCAAGCTGGTGATGAGGCGAGATCCTCATCCTCCCTCCCATCTCCACTGAGACTCCCGGAGAGTGGGGCTCTGAGGGCAGGCTTGTGAGCGCCCCAGGAACCCCTGAAAACGGTAAGAAGGTGGCAGAGAGGCAGGGTTTGCTGGATTGGGAGTGTGCACTAAAGCCAAAGCATGGCCAACTGAATGACTGATATGACTGATATGGTCACAAGACCCCCACTCCCACTCCTTTCTCTCTATCTCACACACACACACACACACACACACACACACACACAATCACACAACACACTTACAGAGTGATTTCACTGTTAGAAAACCTGCACTGCCAATAACATATACAGGATGTCTCTCCCGCCCCCCTCCCCCAAATATATACATACTTTACCAACTGATGGTTGTTAAATATATTTTAATAAACACTGTCTATACATTTTGGGTGAACTCTGTAATACATTCAAGAGAATCATCAACAGCTTCCCAGGTGCCTAGGGAAACTCAAGGCCATAACTAAAAAAAGTATGAGCATTTGTGTTTATTCTTCTCACACACTCAGGAGAATTCTAAAGGACTGACTAGCTCTTTCTCAAAACTCTACTTGGCCCCGCTGGGATTACCCAAGCCCGCTTGGAAACGGGTGGCCCCGGTGTCGGCTGCTCCCGGCTCCCCGTTCAGAAAGCACGTCCTTTCATGAGGCTCAGCTGTTCCCCGGGCATCCAGCAAAGCCGGTCGTGCAAAGGCGGGGACTGTGCCAACTGTTGGGTACGTCCAGCAGCAGCCTGTGGGGGCCGCCGCCTGTTCTCCGGAGCAGCCACTTCAGGGACGGTTCAAGCAGCCCATTATTCAGTTGATATAAAAACACCCACCAGCTACATGGCACCGATGACTGAATGCCTCCATTCTTATCGAGCGCACGACACGCTGGCCACACTGCCTGGCCGCTCACTTCAGGAACCAGAAACAACTTCGTTAGCCATCCACATGCACATGCCCACAGGGGGAGGGGCAGAAAGGAAAGGGCAGGCCTCCTGAGGTCTGAAGACCAGGACTCAGAGATGGCTCCATGGGCAAGCCAGAGTATTTCAACAGTGCCAACAGACTCTCTCACTTCAGCGGTAAACTCTCTATAAGACGTTTCAGATTTGAAGAGTTTGATAAAGAGGGTCTCAGAGCCACAGACACCATATCAAATGCTTCTTTAAAAGGGGGGGGGGGGAGGCTGCATGCCTTTTTCCCAATGAAGAAGCTGTTCAGAGGATTTTTAAAAACACTTTAATACGCTTTGCTTCCAAAGCATTACACACTACTTCTCCAATAAATTTATGTGTTTCCAGGGAACTCCTGGACCAAAAAGGGGGAGGGGGGGAAAAAGTACTTAAGTAGAAAAATGTCTGGAGATTCCTGGATGCCAATATGTTAACAGACCTTCTCTTTTAATTGTTATTATTTCATATAGCAGCAGTAATCATTCCCTCATCTGCAAAGGAAATATATAATCCAGCTGTGGTGGCTCCAGTAAAAATACCACATCTGTAGGCCATTGGCAACACTGTGCAAGCTTGCTCGAATCTAGGCAGTCTTCGAGAGTTCGTTCTCTCTCACTCCCTCTCTTTCCCTCCCTCTCTCTCTCTCTCTCTCTCTTCAAAATACATATGGGTACACTTTTCTAGAAGTGCATATACAATTAGCCAAAACTGGCCACTCCTCTGTACGCTGAAAATAGGTTTTTATATTACCCATACCCAGAAGAGAATATTATTCCCAGAACCCATATGCTACGAGAAATCCCCAGACCCTTCCAGGGTGGTGGCTTGGGCCAGTGCCCTTGTCAGTATCAAGTAGAACGGGGTGGGGGGAATTAACGCTTCTGCTTGGTTTCAGGGAGGGGGTTCTACCGCGTGGCTGGCTGGCTGGCAGCGGGGCTGACTGCTGCTTTTCCACTTAGCAGAGAACCGTTTCCGCAGAGAGGATGGCAGCAACGTTCCGCTCTCTGAGCTCTGGCTCTCCAGCGTATGAAGTCAGAGGTATCACTGAGCACCGGGGGTTGTAATATTCCAGAAATCACCGCTCCCCCCGCTACCGGCGCCCCCTCCCCCGGCATCTCCCCTACAACCAAGTGTCTGTTTAGTCTTTCCCCAAAGCCCAGTAGCATCTTATTTCTAAGCCAATTTTCCACATTCAAATCCCCAGCCCCAACGCGCGCCTGGGGGTTTCCATCTGCAGACTTGTAAAAAGAGAAAGCAGCAGAGCTGAGCCTTGACAGACTTTTATCCCTACCCCAGACACATGCCCCGCGGCAGCTACTGTGCTGGAATGTCCATGGCCCCAAACGCTCCAAGGTCCCTTTGCATCCCAGACAATAGAGCAAGAAAATAAAATGAAAGTGGACTTACGGCGATGGCTTGCAGCCTTTCCTTGTGCAGTTCTGCCTCTGCCATCCTGGAGAAGGGCACACAGGGAGGGGAGAGGAGGAGAGAAGAAGAAGAAAAGAAAAAAAAACAACCACGCTGTAGTCACTCAAGGAAATGGATGGGCACCTCGAGGGGGGCTCAGGTAGACCCGGGGAGAGCCCCGGGGGAGGCAGGGATCGGCTCAGGGGGTTGCGGGCAGAGCTGTGCGCGCGGCTGGCTCGCCCCGCTGGCTGGCCCGGGCTCAGCCTCTGGCCCCCGCCCGCCCAGCCGCCTGGCTGCGCCCCAGCGCCGCGCTCCCTGCAGCTCCCGCCGCCGCCGCCGGCCGCGCTGGGCGCAACGTGGGCCGCGGGCAGCCACTGGGCGGGCGCGCTGGGCTGGCCCCGTGCTGGTTCTCCGCCCCGGCGTCTGGGCCCTCGCTCCGCCCCCAGGGGGATGCGGGACCCTCGGAAGCGGCCCCCAGAGGCTCTGGAGGGCAGGAGACCTTGGGGCGGTCGCCGCGGGTGGGAGTGGGGTGGTCCCCAAGGCAAGGACAGGGGACAGGCAGCGCGCCTGCAGCGGGCACTGGGGGCGCGGGCGCTCGGCGAGCCGCTGGGGCGCACAGCTGGCGCTCCTGGTGGACACGCGCTCAATGGGGGCCCAGCAGGAGGAAGGGGCACCTCGGGGAGCAGATGCCAGCCAAGGGGCCTCTGGTAATAAAACGTGTGTGTGTGGAGGGGGGACAGGGGGGAGGGGGCCGAACACATTCCCCAAGGTCCAGCTGAGGCCTCTAGTTTATGTCAGATGCTTGGGCTCCGAGTGGGGACATTGCCAATAGGGAAGGGCTGCCTCGCCCACATGCCTAGATGGCGGTACTGAAACACCAAGGCCACCGGCCACGGTATAGCTCAAAACAGGCCTGTGCCGCCACATGTGTGTGTAGTCCTGGTGCTCAGCTAGGCTGGGCTGGACAACTTATTCACTGTGCAACCTTGGGCAGCTCCCTTAACCCCTCTGAACCTCAGTTTCCTCATGAGAAAAATGGAGGGTCAAAGTTGTCCGTAAAGGGCAATCTGCTCTATCCTTACCCTGTGACATTCTGGGCGGAAATCCTTGAGTGTCTATACTTCAATACAGTCTAAAAGGAAAAGTGGAATCCGGGCACTAAAATACTTCATCTTGGTGCCCAGCGGGGGTGGCTCAGTGGTTGAGCATCCACCCGTGAACCAGAAGGCCACAGTTTGATTTCCTGTCAGGGCACCTGCCCCAGTGCAAGCTGGATCCCCAGTATGGGTGCGCAGGAGGCAGCTAATGGATGATTCTCTCTCACCAGTGATGTTTCTTTCTCTCCCTCTCCCTTCCTCTCTGAAATCAATAAAAATGATTTTTAGTTAATAATTAAATACTTCACTTCTTCATTATCAACACAGAAGACAGTGCTAGTACGCATCTTTTGAGACAGTTGAGACAGGCACTGGGCAGCATATGAGAGATGGATAAGATCAGTCCAAAAATAAATAAATGCTAAAAACAACAACAAATAAAATATTTCTTCAGGAGCGATCTGCTAGAATCCCCAACATTCATAAGCAGACTTTCCTCAACAACAAAAAAAAAAGCGACAAAAAATTAGTGTCCTTTTGAGATCCTGGATGCTTCTCAAATGCAGGATTTAAGAAGGTGTTTGAAACGGTATGCACATCAAATTTTCTCAAATCTCCTCTTTCCTGGGCAAATTCTTACAGTGCAACAAAATCGCCTTTTCGGCTTTCAGGGAGGTTTTACCTGTCACTTGATGATCAATTACTGCCCTCCCTGAAGACTAACGCAGCCACCCAAACAGTCTTACTGGTTGTTTTCCCTTCCTTTTCATGGCGGGTTTGGGGGAGCTGTTTGTGCCATAAAGCCCAGCCAATACCAGATGCGACAATCCCATTCCAATATATCCAAACTTCTACCTCTGGCTAAGACCCACCCGTGTCTTCAAACCTCTCACTTTCTCTTCATTTCCCGCACCAGCTCCAGCAAGACAAGTCCTCTGAGGGTGTTTGCTCACTCATAAACAAAACTGTTATTACTTCAGGACAGTGACCGCATAGCCAACAACAGTAGAAAATAACAGGATGAAGGAAGTGAGGCCAGAGAGGCGGAGAGACTCAGCCAGCGCCATAGAGCAGGGACTGGAACTCAGATTAGACTGCAGAGCCCGTGTTCTTAACGCTCAGAGGAGCACAGCAACATGGGTAGACTTTATGTCACCACACTGTGCACTTAAAAGTGGTTTCATTGGTAAATTTTATGTTATGTGTATTTTACCACAATAAATTCTTAAAAAGGAGTCAAGGAAGAAAACATGGGGTCAGAGAAGGGCTCGAGCACCCTTTAAAAGTGACTCTGGAAAGAGCTGAACCTCAGGAAAGAAGGATCAGGATTGATGACATGTATGTGGGTGCCATTGACTTTGAGGTTATAGCTAAAGAAATGAGAATGGCCAGAGGGAAAAAAATACAAGAAGAGGAGAAAGCTCAGCCGATGAGGCCAAGAATGTATCATCTGAGGAGTAGAAGGAAAAATTAGGAGGGATATTTGTACCAAAAGCCACGTCAGGAGGAAAGGGGTTTCCAATGGGGTCAGATGCTTCTGAGAGGTCAAGGACTCAAACTAAGAAGACACCATTGTCTTGGACCAGTGGGAAGTCAAGGGTGACTCTGGAAGTGCAGCGTGTGTGTGGAGGATGAACCTGGAAGCAGTTATGGAGAGTGGAGAATGAAGCATCCATGAGAACAAACCACTCCTTTCAAATCTGTGAATGTGAAGGATGATGGGCAGGGAAGATGGGGTGCGTCCAGGGGAACTGGAAGGTAGTCTATGGGAGGTAGGGTCAAGTTGAGTGCTATTAGGTCGGGTGAGACTTGAATGTTTCAGGAACAAAGAGGACTAGGCATCATGGGAAATGAGGTCAAAGCAAAGACACAGTCAAAGGGAAGATAAGTATTAGATCTCAGAGTGGACCAAAGAGCATACATGTGAGCACTGGTGGCCTGTTTAGCCTTAGGGGGGGGGGGGAGGAGGACTAACAAAGGAGAACAGGGAAATGGAGTGGTAAAGACAAGGAGAAATTGTAAGAGAGAGGAGAGAGAAGTTGATAGTGAGTGAGTGTGCATTAGATGGCCTAGTTTTCCCAGCTAATGGAAGGATCATTGGTTGAGACTGATGGAATAGCAGTGGAGGAATTCGGGAAAAATAGAAATGTTTTGTAAAGAAGCTGTGGGAAGTGGGGGGAAAAAACTAAGACATGTTTTCCAACCAGAAGTGTGCATCGGAATTCCCTGGGGCACATCTCTCTCTCAGTACACGTATACAATTAAGTTTCTATGGGGTGAGGAAGAGGTTGGAGATGGGTTTAGAACCATTGTACTGACTGAGTTTACTAGAAATAGACAAAAGACTCATGACCAGTTGTGTGTACTTCCTTATTGGCTTTTAAACAGCTGAGACTTCCTCAGTGGTTTTAACCAGCTGAGGTCCGTGATATGCAGTGATTGTGTTTATTCAGTGTTGAGGGTTGTCAAAGCAGGCATTCCAAAAAGTCAAAGGAGAGAAGAAATTTAGAATGCTGAACTCGGGAGGTTCAGCCAGCTGGAAGTATAGTGGACTCTTTCATAAATGTTGGCTGCCTAACTTGGGAATCCCTTTCCATCTTCGGGGCATTCCCATAGTATGAGCCATAGTGAGAGTCGGCTCCACTTCTCATCACAGAAGCTGGGAAAGGCCAGACTATGGCATGGCATGGCATGGCATGGCATGCAGTCGGGGCTCAGTCAGGTGTGCCTTGGAGACACAGCATTAGATAAATATTTCAGGTTGGTAGCTCACCCTTGGTCTTGCCCACTGCCCAAGCCCCTTCTCTAGTCTTCCCAGCTGTTCTGTGAGCTGCTCATACCTGCTCTGCTCCTATCACTAGAATCGGTTTCTGTTGCTTGCCATTAAGAATCCTAAGTGAAGCAGAGGCATGTGAAATGAATGACTAATGCTTGGCCAGAGAGCAAAGGGAAAACGTTTTCTCTTCTCTCCTCAGATCTCTAAATGTAGCACTTTAAAAATCAGTGAATCCATTACAAACACAGACATTTATAACCCCAAATTCTTTCATAAGTTCCTATTGTATAGCTATTCCATGCCAGACATTAGGCTACGGCTTGATATTACAAAGAATTCCTACCCCAGTGTTAATATCAGTGACCTCTTGCCCCACACACACATCTAAAGCCTGGAAAGATCTGTTACAATAGTGCATAATGCGTGTAACAAACCACTGGTTCTTGCTGGGACAGTAAATTGCGTTGCATAAGCACTACCCGTATTGTTTATGGTTTTTCTGATGGATGCTGCATTGCACAACTTTTTATACAGAGAGAACACGGAACGCTGGATTTGCAAAAATAGATGTTTTGTTAATAAAATTTCCAAAATCTATTTTTAGGGTATGAGTCCTTTGGGAACCACAGATGATCACAGCCCATTCGCCTGTGGGGAAAACAGGAGCGCTCTAAATGAGAGGGAGAAAAGTTGCTGAGGCCCATTGAGTGAGTACAAGTTAAAGTCTTGTTGAGCAGCAGCAGTGAGTGTAAAATTTCATGGTAACTTGAAGCTTTCCTTTGACAAAATAATTTTAAAAGGAGCACCGACGTTCTCTAAAATGTTTGTGTTTTGCATTAGCTCTCTTTTGCCTAGGATCTCGTGGAATGCGTGGTCATTCAAAACATGGGTGAAGGCCCTAACCGGTTTGGCTCAGTTGATAGAGCGTTGGCCTGCGGACTGAAAAGGTCCCAGGATTGATTCTAGTCAAGGGCATGTACTTTAGTTGCAGGCGCATCTCCAGTAGGGGGTGTGCAGGAGGCAGCTGATCGATGTTTCTCTCTTATTGATGTTTCTCTCTTATTGATGTTTCTAACTCTCTATCTCTCTCCCTTCCTCTCTATAAAAATCAATAAAATATACATATTTTTAGAAAAACATGTGTGATGGCTGCACAGAATCAAAGGAGGGGGACGGTGGTTGGAGCCCTTTTGGCCCCTGTGATTGTGAACAATTTGGGTAAGTTCCTGGGCTTTCAACTACGTGCTGTTTTTAACAACAGGATTTGAGGGGTAGATTCCTATAGGGAGTACCCTGGTATAAGAAGACAGAGAAAAAAGTTAGAAAACAGAGTGCCAGCCTGGGCAATAGACTAGGCTGGATGGTATGTGTTGACTAGGGCCTCTGCATAGCAGTCTCAATATGAGCAACTGGGAATATATCTAGAAA